CTTCAAACCCTGCTTCCTTATTAGAAAAAAAAAGGTTTCCATTTTTGTCAGATCCAATTAGGAGAAAAACCTATCACAACCACGCTGTTGCTGATTGATTAGTGCAACGGAATCTGCATAACAGTTCCACTTGATCCTGAAGTTGGCAGTCAAATATTTTAACATCACCTCATTTCCATATTTTTCTAACATGATAATATCATTTCATTGATAACTGGCCCTGTACTGCTTGGGGATTTGTGATTTATTTTTATCCTTTAATGTGGATTGGATACTACATAAATAGCTAGTATACGAATGCCTCAGTCTCTGTTTGTTATGTCTGCTTGTAATATGCTCTATTTGCATATATATAAATAGGAAAAAATGTGAATTTGTTAAGTGCTAGTGCATGCAATCCCATGTCTGCATGAAATTCTGAACTTATTCTAAGCCATCTTCTACTATGCCGTAATTCTAAATCACTTCTATCAATTCATAGATATTACGCCACAAACAATGCCTGTGGCTCCGGACATGCATAATTATTTTGTACGGGATGATGATCGTGGCATGACTAGGATAAAGGATACACAGACAATTGGATCAGCATATGATCGTTATCTTCAGAGTTCGGTAATCCCAAAATCCCAAATACTTACTATTGCATTCCCTTTGCTCAATTGGACCTATAATTGTACTCAATATTATGATGTTGCCTTTTATAGCATGTTTCTTCTTTCTCTTCTGGAGAAACTAGTAACTATAAAGGAGTTGGAGTTGGGTTGGGAAGAGTAGGAGGAGGTGACGTGATGCCTGGCCTTGCAGCACGTGATCCTGTTGCTACGGCTCGGGGTGCTGTTGCACCAGAACTAGTAACAAATGGCAGAGGTATGGGATATGTTGGTCGTTTGCCTGTGGATGCAATTGCTAGACCTCGTGAGACAATACCTCTGCCTCCTGATGCATCGAGCACACTATATGTTGAGGGGCTTCCCCCTGACAGCAATAGAAGAGAAGTTGCACGTATCCTTTTAGATGCTAAAAGAGAACGCGATGAATGAATACGTATTTACTTCTAAGAGTATTTGTCTTGAATGTGCTTTTCTTCCTTAACCCTACTATAGATATATTTCGCCCTTTTGTGGGCTACAAAGAAGTCAGACTTGTTAGGAAGGAGAGCAAACACGTATGTCAATCATCATTTTCTAATCCATACAGCCATCCGCCATTTTATTCCGTTGTTCTTGAGTTTAGTCTCCCAATTGTCATTACTAATAAGACTTCATCATTTTCAGCGTGGTGGAGATCCTCTTGTTCTTTGTTTTGTGGATTTTGTAGATGCAGCCTGTGCGGCCACTGCTTTGAGTGCTCTGCAAGGTGATCCATTTAAGTTCTAAGATTCAATTATTGTTGGTGGCCTTTAAAATATAATTTTATGAAGATATTATAGTTATTAAGCTATTTATTTATGGCATATATGGTGAATACTAGAGCATATTTTCTTCTTTTCCCAAAAGGTTGAATCCCCAACCCCAAGGGCCCCCCACACCCCAGCCCAACAGAGTATTTGAGAGGATGTAAATTACGATAACTTATGGCCCAACAGACAGGGCCAATTGGCTAAATGCTGGTGCAAACAAGGGATTTATCCACTTTAGGCATAATCCCCACACTGTTGCTACCGTGTTTCGGACCTTGATCTGTTCTCCCAAATACTGTCTACTAGAGCATATTTTGTTTAAATGATCTGTAGTATGATATTTTCACTCTACTCTCGTCCACATGCATGTGAACATAGTGAGATTAAGAGGGAAAAGTAGTGCTAGGATGAATCATCAATTCCTCATCCATCTTATATAAGGCATGATATGAATAATTTTTGTTGTGGCTGGCTTGCCAGGATATAAGATGGATGAACATGACCCCGATTCACCCTACTTGCGGCTACAATTCTCCAAGTACCCAGGCGCGAGATCAGGAGGCTCTGGAAGCCGTGGCAAGCAGCGATAAAGACAGCAGACCAACTATTTGTATTATTGCTTAACACCCCACACCACACCGCACCGGAGATGGGACATGCAGTCTTAGAGAGATTTCTGAACCACGTTTAGCCAATTTAACATAATTCTATCCTTGTTAGGCTGTTAGCATTTGGCACTAAGTGTTGGTTCATGGATGTGTATGTTGTATACTAGTTTTTTGCCAATGAGTTTATTTTTGTTGGTATTTTTTTTTTTTTTTTTTATGTGAATTTTGTTGAATCATGGTCCGACGTGAAAATCAGATTTTTTGTGTGGCATGGGAGGTTGAGTGTAGTCTTTTAAGTCAACAAAAACATGTTTCCCTTTGGTCATGTTTTGTGAAGTACCACCCAACATATAATTATAATATTATAATATAATTTTATATTTATACTAATTTATACTAATAGGAAAATGTTACAGCACAAAGCATTTGACTATGGTTTGTGGATATTGTGACTTTGCAGTGATGTAGATCAAGTTTACAAACTTCTAGGAGTTGTCTTCCGACATTTGAAACAAGTTACTTCACATATCGACTTAGGACGTGTTTGAAAGCTCGAAAAATGAAATTTTGATGTTTGGCTAGGTTGGAAAATGAAAGGTCAAAAGAAAATAAGGATTGATCAATGGAAAGTGACCTCAACTATATGAAAAATGACTTCCCCTTTTTTTGGGGAAAGTCATTTTCCGAAAGCTACTTTGGCCTACAATTACGGTCTCTGGTGTCTGGCTGGAAACTAGAGAGCACTTTTCTCTGGTTTCCGGCCGCGGAAACCCGCCGAAAACCAAAGAGCTTTTCTCTGGTTTCCACCCGGAAACCAGAGAGTAAGTACTGGTTATACTGCTCCCTTGTTTCCGCCGGAAACCAGAGATAACAACGAAAACCAGAGAGTTTTGTACTCTATGGTTTTCGTAATTTTTTTTAAAATTTTTAATAAATAATATTATTTGATTTAAAAAATAAATATTATTATTTATAATATTATTATAATTTTTTAATATTTTAAACGAAATAATTAATTATATAAAATGTTTAATTATACAATTCTACATCATTTTTCAGAAAATGAACCAAATACACAAAGACAGTTTTATGCTGAGCAGCCAAACACAAAAAAAGAAAAATGTTTTCAGAAAAATGACTCATTTTCTAGAAGTAATTTTCTTACTTTCCAAATGGACCCTGGTGCACGATATAACGATTCTCATTATGATGAGAAAATTCAAGTGTAAAAGAGCATTTTTTTTTTAAATTTAAAAAGTATTTAGTTATTTAAAAAGGGCAAGCTCTCTCTCTCACACACACACTTCGATTTGTTCGGTATGTCATTGCGTTGACGGTAGGACGGTGTGTGCACTTTTATGCTCTATTTATGCACTTTGGTATGCGTCGGACAATGCACATTATTGCCGGTGTGTGCACATACATTGTGTACGTGTAAGCTGATTGCAATTGTGTGCACTCGCATACCCGTTTGTGTGCATTCTACATGGATGACGTGCATTTATTCTTACATTTTATGACCTTTTGGACAAGTGTTGCATTGGTGTTCAGTGGTTTCATTTATATGCATTTGTGTGTTGCGTTTTTAGTCACTTAAAAAACGCTAAAAGTATTGAAATATGTCAATCCAATGTCATTTGTCCATTTTCTCACAGCGGAATACCAACAAAACATGTTCAAAAAATGCACACAACATTACAAACGTGTACGCACTATCCATCTTTCCCAGCCCCGAACCCCGTCCGCATTCCCCCATCCACCGCGGGTGAACAAACATGAAAACATGCCAATAGATAACAACCTAAAATGCATACAATATTACAAAAAAATGCATATTATCTATCCATCTTCTCCAAGACCCAACCCTTTTCGCTTCTCCCGACTAACATGGCCGAACAAACACCCATGAAACATAGCAATGGACAACAACCTAAAATTCACACAATAGTACAAACAAGTGCATACTATCCATAATGCTTATAGAAATCAACACCATGCTCCAAATTATTAAAACGTTGTCCAATAAAAGACTTGATAGACTCGTCACAAGTTGACGACTAGTACTTCGTTTCACCGAGGTTGAATAGACTTGTATACGATTTTGAAATTTTTTTTCCATTCAACTAATTGAACCGAAGAGTAAACTTGATTCGATCAACCTTTCGTAAGATTTGCATAGTGGAAATAATTTAACCCTTTTTTACTTAGTTTTGCACATAAGTTTAATTTGATATTGTCTAAATGGTAGTTTGTTGCGTGATGAAGTAAATGCTTGTAAATACGGAGTAAAAGATAGAGAGAGAGACACTTTTATAGTGGTTCGGCTAAAATCTAGCCTACTCCACTCTTCTCCTTAAACTCCAAGGAGGTTTGCACTAATCTTTCTAGTGCAAAAAGATCACCCAAGCCTTGAACACAGAGTTAGCCTTGAGTATCTATATTTTTTTAACTCCACACGAGTTTACTCCACATCTTTCTATTGCTTCCGAGTAGAGATATAGATTTTTAAACAAAATTCTTTGATTTTCCAATGCGTGGACTTGGCTTCTTGAATGTAGCCTTGATCGTCAAGGTTTGCAGCACAAGTCTCACAAGGCAAAAAAACGTAATTCAAATCTGCGTACGATCTAGCGATGAGAAGTTATATTTGTTTTTTGTTTTTATTTTATTTTATTTTAGTACTACTGACTCTGTTATACGGAGTAATATAATATCTATTTAATAGGATCAAACCCATGACCTTCCGGTTGAAAAAAATTACTTCATGCTATTAGATTATAAGATCATTGACATTTATTGTTTGTTAAATGTTTTTGTAGTTTGATGACAAATTTTAATAAATATTAGTATATTTAAGGTGGATCCAAATTGAATTATTAATTACAGAGTTGTTCAGGAAAACCATTAAAATTTGAGCTAAGAGTGAATCAAAGAGCACATTAGTTGTTACTAATAAAATTGGAACTTACAAACATATATTAAAAGCCAAATTAATTCACTTAATTAAATACTATATTAAACCATGGGGAAGTGTCAAGTGGGATGAAGTCATGAAGCTGAATTTCACTAATAACTGATACACTGGGGAGAAAAACACAGATATAAAAGTAAGCATCAACAACATACCTATCAGCTGGCTGCATCAAAAACAAAGAAAATCCTTTACAAAGATGTTAAAGTAACTGGGACTGGGGGTGGGGTATGGAGAAACAAAAACCCTAGCATTCAATCGTGTGATGTTAGATATTTACCTCTACTATACTATGATCATTTCAAAATTCTAAAACGTGTAAAAGTGGTAAATGTCAAAACATATATATATAATTATATATATTAGATTGAGAGTATTCTTCTATTCAGCTTCCATTTGGTGCTTCAAGTTCAGTGGCATCCTGTGATTAGGTAAGGGGAGTTTACTTCTCAAGTTCAAAAGGGGTATATATAGGGATATATAAAAGTATGGATGTTTTACATACCTCCTCCTCAACATTAACATCCTTTAGGAGCTCCTCAAGTTGTGGTCTTATATCAGAGAACGAGGGTCGCTCACTAGGAGCTGCTTCCCAACTTCTCTGCATCAACTCAACCAGCTTTGGGTGTGAATCAGTAGGAAGTTCTGGTCGAAGACCCTGCCATACATTTATTTAATTATAAAAACAATTTTTTTTAAAATGATGAATTTGGTATACATATCTTAGTCTGTAGCCCCGGTTTCCCCCCAAATTCCATTCAAAATTGCAGTTTTAAGGTACAAACCTGTCTCACACCGAGTGCAGCTTGTAAAGGGGTCATGGTGTCATATGGGACCTGCATCATCAAGGAGACAAAGTTTACCTTTTGAAAAGAGCAGCCGGGGTTTTCTTTCTAAGAGAGATTGATACCTTGGCTGTTGCAAGTTCCCAAAGAACAATTGCGAAACTGAATACATCTGCTTTCTGGTCATACGGTTGATGATTTATCACCTGGGATGAAGACATTCAAACATGCATCACACAGATATTGTTACATAGTACACAGTCCCAGGTGAAGAAATGCACAAACTCGGGCACTCTCACCCCAACTGCAGACAAAGATTAATTCAAAACCATTAACTACATTCTTGATTCGTAGGATCTCTAATAATCAGCCTACTATGTGACGACTGAGGAGAAGGATAGGAAAGTTTTTATAATACACACAGTTCACTGTAGATCCAATGCAATACATGGAAACATCTAGTAATGCAGTTTTAACAACGTATGAAAGGCACATCTGTATGCATGGATATTCATTCTATAAAAGGACTTTGTGATTTCATACCTCAGGGGCCATCCATCTGTATGTTCCAGTCTCAGCTGTCATGACACCCCCTTTACTCTGGAACCGAGCAACACCAAAATCTGCCACTTTTACAACCTAGTGAAAGATTACAAAATCAATATAAGCATCGGTGAAACAACATAGTAAATTATACCAAAGAGGCAAAGGAGAATATAAACCTGCAAATAATTGATAAACAAATAAGGCCAACATCTTGGCACAAAGACATATTCAAGTTAATTCTCTCCTCCCCACAGTGATAATATACAGGGTCTTTATATGGTCTCAATACATCAAAAGTCTGAAAATCTCTCAATAGGTAATGGATGAAACTGGGGGAAAAGGATAGTATATTCCAATTTGTGATGCAATTATCAGTTAATTTGCTAAATGAAAACAATCCTCAGTTTGAGAAAGCAAATGAGTTTTATGATTTCCAAGTCATATCCCAGGCAACTAGAAATTAAAATTAACAGAAGCTTCTAGAAATATGTTCATTTGATCATTCCTATGACCAGATAATCAGCATTCATCCATTTATGGAATAATAATGACTTTTTCATACAAACATACACACACCCACTTGTAGTCACTCATCAGACAGGTGAAAATAAGAAATGAAATTATCTTCAGTGTCAGGAGGAATACTTCTTCATTTGGCAAATGCAGAACACCAAGAACACAAAAAGAAAGATAATATATTCCAATAAGAGGGGAAGTTTAAAAGACCAACATAGGGTAAGACAACCAACTACTCCAATATATCTTAGCAAAACAATGTACAAACTTAAGGGGCAGAAGCTCACTAATTGTATTATCATGTTACTCATGTATTGGAAATAGAAGGATAAACGACATTCTTCTTTGATTGCTGCAATTAAAGACTGCATGCAAAATGTAACTCGGCCCAATGACCACAAGCATTTTTCATTGCATTAAAATTAGGGCAAATCTGTACAGAAGAATTGAGAAGCTAAAATGCAGATTGTAATTGCACACATGGAGAACTTCATAAAAATGTAATCCATTCAAGTCATCAGTTATGACCCTGCAACATTGTCCCATGCAATGAAACACATTGTTACCTACTCTGTTCCCATGCCAAATTGCTAATGTTGAGATTATGCAAAGAACAACAAAAATTTTGCATTCACAAACCAATACCTTGTCTACATCCATAAGTAAATTTGCAGTTTTCAGATCTCTATGGATTATATTGTTTTGATGCAAATATTCCATTCCTTTGCAAACATCAATTGCAAATCTCAATAGTTGTGAGAGCTTCAAAGTATTATGGTTCCGATGCAAATAATCATACAAGCTTCCACCAGGCATGTATTCTACATGAGACATTAATAGCAACATATTAGTAAGCGTACATCTCTAGTTTACATTCACTAATTGAAAAATACAGCTGATGGCAAGAGCTTCATGAAGCAAATTCATATCCAAAATATGAAACAGATAACTTTAGATACAGTATTAGGTGAGAAAACTATACTCAATTAACAGCTTCAATAAACTAAGAGAATGGACAAATCAACAATAATAAATTACTATAAGAGCAGGCCTAACAAAATGCCAAATGGTGCTACACTAAAGTTGTTCTCAAGCCATCAGAATTACCACACAGACATTAGTCCAAAAACGTAGCAAAAAGACGGGAAGTATTTCCTACGGATATGTAATTGTGTACCTGTGACAATGCACAACAGAGGTGGTTTTGAGCAGGCACCAATGAAGCGTACGACATTTTTATGTTGGACCTGCCTGCATATAATGCAAAAGACCACATAAAATCAGCCAGTAGATAGCCACACAAATATGCCACACTAACTGCCCATAAGGATAAGTACGAAAGTACTTTCTACCCATTTCAAGTATTGATGTTGTTTTCAAATAGATTTGGATATCAAAAATTTATAGCAAGATACATCAGTGAGATGGGATATGAAGAACACATCTACTAATAAGAGCTACAACTATTTACCTTAAAATAGCAACTTCTTGAGCAAACTCATCCTCCAAAGAGTCATTTAAATGCTCAGATCTAAGGACCTTCACCGCAACATCAAGACCAAGATATACACCATGATACCTTTTCCACGGAAATATTATGAAGAAAACAATACCATAAGAGGTTACAACAATAGGAAATCACATATAAAACATTACTGAGATATATCTAACTTACAGATCACCACAAGATCCTGATGCAATCTTTTTCCCTATCTTCAGTAATCTTCTGTCAATTTCCCAATCTTCAAATTTTGCTTGTGCAGAAATAGCTTTTTCCACTGATGACTGAGAATGTGAAGAACCAGACCATGACCCCTACATTACCAAATAGAACCCAAAATTGTCACTAGAAATGGTTTGTCGATGTCAGCTGCTTTGATATATTTAGAAAAGTAAATAGAAAATCACAAGAAGAAAACTAACATCCAATGGCTATGAAGCTCAACCACAAGGTCCTCAAATGCTAGTGAGAATCTTGAGAATTCAAGACATAAATATATGATTTTGCATTTGAAATTTATATTTATTTATTGAAATAAAAATAGAAAACAAGCTGCTGACAAAAGCAGAATAGAAGTAACAATAAATATATTCTGTTTTGCGGCATTGATATATGCAATAAGTTACCTTATAAATGTATTGTGATACAAGTAGAACAATTTGCTTTACAAATTAGCAAAGCGTAAGATGGGGAAAAAAATCGCTTGAGTCAACTCTCATTAACCAAACTGGACACATAAAATGAGTTAAGGGAGTAGTAAGCAATGCCCTCCTGTTAATAATTAAATAATGTTTTAACCTCAAGGGACATTTTTGGAATTTCATATCCTAACTAGTTCAGTCCATATTCAAGGTTTCAAAGCAAGACAATGCTTAACTAGTTCATGGCTCAATGACAGATGATGAAAAGTTGGCCCTTTGGAGATCCAATTTCAATAATAATTCAGCTCATGTACTGGACAAACATCTCATATATGGCTTTTGCCAAATGGTGAATGTTTGTTATTTGAGAAAATGAAGCTATACTAGCAAAAATCTGTAGATATACACATGCTATACATTTTCTTCTTCCTTTAGGTTTTAGGGTATGCAATCTTAAAAAGGTCCCTTAGAGTTTACACTTCATTTGAAAAATGTTGTGTCTTATATATACACATTGAAATGAAGCCAACTTCTAGCAGAAAAGTTATAAAAAGTGTATAAACAAAGTGATTACCTCACTTCTAGCAATTGCCTTTTCCAATTCTTCAAGCATCCCCTTTGGATCCTGAGCACAACATTGCAAAGTCAGCAACATTTGGACTCACCACACATTCCTGTCATGCAAGAATATAATCACAATGCTCACTTTTTATCATATGTTTGTGCTATCCTATGACAACTACCTTGTGAAAGGTTGTCCTAATGACTTCAAAGCTCTATTTTTGTCTCTCATAATCAATGAGAAGAAATCCATGTGAACCTATGCAACTTAGAGATGAAATTAGTATGTATTTACATTGCATCAAATTATAAATGGGATCATCAAAATTGATTATTTCATGCAAGACTTGGTTATGTTTTAGCAATCAGCAGCATTATTATGCACTGATATCTAAGCACATAAAAACAGAATGTTATATCTAACTAGATGCTGTTAAGGATATAACAACAAAATATTTATATCGAAGGATGAAATGACAAAATAAACCACAATTTGGCACATCAAAAAGAGATGGGATTCAACCCAGGCCATTGTGAGGCTTAGCCAACCACTAGGCTATAGGCTAGGACCTGAATCTTGGACAATATAAACCATACCTCAACAGGCCATCCATCCACCACAAATACATCTAACGAGTAGCCATCAGTTGTGGAGAATACATGAGCTTCACGGATGTTAAGTCCTATGTCAGAGAGCAAAGCAGAAAGCTAGAAGAAAAGGGAGGAAATCAGGTGCGATACAACTCCAACGCAAAACAAATGATGAGAAGAGAGGTACATTCAATAAAAAATAAATCCCTTCCAATACAAATATAGAAAAACAATGCTCTAAATGATCAATATTGCCTTTTATTGTCTAAATTCTAGCCTCAATCCTTGAAATTATGTAGCTAACCTAAAGTCTAATGAAGATAATGTGCCTTAAACACATTAAAAATAAATAAATAAATAAATAAATAAAGGAGACAGTTCAGTACTTCAGTCAGATTCTTAAAGTTTATCAAGGACACTGCTAGCAATCAGAATTAGCTTGTCTGACAATGATTTCTTATTTTGATAGCTAAGGAAGTTCAATAAAGCACCACAGGTGTGCAACCCCAGTCAACCACCAACAAAGATTCCAACAATAGCTACCGTCGATCCCATTTCACAAAAAATCTAGGATGAATTGCAAAAACACAATAAAACAAATTTTCAGACCCAGTTCTATCTTCCTTTGGATTTTCTATCTTTGCACTCTTACTCCACCCTCCCAATTCCAAACTTCTCAGTTCTCTTTCCATGTTAGGTATTTAGTTGTTCAGTAGTGAGTTCCCCAGTAAATAAAGGGGCTTGGCAGAACAAATGTATGCAGTTTTTTCACCAATTACATGGTTTCTTAAACCTTGTTTATTCTCTTCAGATATGATCTAAGAATTAAAAAGAGCCAACCTTTCACAAATTAGCATGCTGGTGATTCACTGGTTTTGTGCCCTAATTTCCATTTAAATCAAGCAATTCACATGTCAAATCATCATATGGTAATTATATAGGGGCAAAATGAAGTTTTAAAGTTTGGAATTGATGAAAGAAGGAACAATAATTATGCATAACTGGCCACAAAACAGGTGTATATTGGGAAAGAAAGAACAAGAATATAGAATAATCATGAAGATAAGAAAACAAAAATCTAGAAAAATGTACAGTAGATGTCTAGAAATCCCACTTATTCTTATTCTCAAAAAAAAAAAAAAATCCCACTTATCCTAAAAAAGGAAAGAGATGTCCTAGAAATCCCTTTAAGAAACTTGAATCAACCAACTTTTAAAAGCTAGGCCCTAATAGATATCTTATGCAATGATATCCTACTTGAAAGATCACAGATCATAATGAAGATAAATCAGGTCACTGTCTTCAATGTTATAATAACTCAAAGTCAGAGAGACAATAAGATTATCTGTTGCACAAAATTATAAGGTGATTCTTTATAAACTACAATGTGGATTATCTTGCATTACCTGGCTAAGAAGCTTGGGCTTGTCAATGGTAGAAAATATTACTTCATGGATTGAAATACATGAAACCACCTCCCTGCAATTCACCTTCCAGTGGTCAAGTAACTTTTCATGTGGATAATAATATAAATTTATTATGGGAATAGCCTTCCTAATAGGTGTGCACTGACATGAGGAAATGCAATGGGGCAGAGCTGGGGGCATATTCCCCATCCCCACCGGGGGAAGAGAATTCTTCTCTACCCCTGTCCATGTGGGAAAATTACGGGGATGGGGATTCCTAGTCCCCGGTTAACTCCCCAAAAAGTTATTTTAAAATAATAATAATAATAACACTTTCGATCCTACAACAAAAATTCACCAAATATTTAGTTCTTAACCTTAAAAATATGCATGTGTGTGGCAGGGAATTGGGTGAAATTGCCATCCCTAACAATTACAGCTTTTTAAACAGCAAGATAGTTCCTGTGTAACAAAGTGAATGTGGTTTTCTTTCAATTTTAAGCTTAATTATCTTTGGCTTTGAGACTGGATCTCTGGAATTACAGAGACTGATTTTTTATTCATAAGCTGATAAACAGCTATTTATTTTATTCACATATATACTGGGAAGATGCCAAAATATTATTCAAATCTACCAGGCAAACTTACTAAAGTATTTAAAATTTTCCAAAACTGCCTAGCTAAGGGAAGTGCAAAGTCAAATTATGGAGTAATATTGTTTATGATAAAATTCAACAAAAAAATTCCCCCTGATTCTAATATTTGATTATTTGCTAACTAAAAAATCTGCATGCTAGAGTCTCCCAGATGTTTGATATTATAGCCATCTATGTAATCCCCAAAGATTCTCACTTCAAGTGTCAAAAATAGGGATGGGCAAAATAGCTAGACCTGAAACCCAATCCAAATTAGTCAGATTGGGTGGAATTGAATCAATTATGGTTCGGGGATTTGTGAAATTCATATATCTGTTGTTTATACATATATCCAATAATTATATTCAGAAAGGGTTTGGAAATTCTAAAAATTTTAATCCATTTTCCAACCCTACCCTAATTTTGCCACTTCACCTAATGGCTCTTGTGCAACTGTGCTCCAATTCCAGATTGGAGAAGCCCCTGGATTCCCAGATCATTATTGTTGAGCACCAGTGGAGCCGTGGAGGAGATGACATCTCAGAGAAAGGTGACAGTGCTGCCAGTATTGGTGGTGCCTCAAAAGGTGAGGCACCAACTCCTGGAAGATAGGTGAATCTTCACATACAGTGCTGGAGCAGGGAATGCCTAGAAGAAATCTACTGAGCTTAAAGGGTTATTCATTTTTTATTTATTGATGTTATATTGCTTTGGCTGCTACCTTCCTATGCCTTCTTAAACACGTCTAACGAACCCTCTCTTTCTGAGCTGGTTTAGTGCAGAACATAAGGACCTAACGAAGCTTCACAATTTGGACGTTGAGAGGAATATGAACTCAAAAGAGCTTGTTGTCCACCTCTTTTGCCTACAAACGAAAACTCCATAGTATTTAATTCTTAGATGTTACACAGCTAGTGAAATGGTGAGTTCTTTTGTTAAAATGTATGTTGACACAATGTTGATACAATAGTTTGTAGTACTCAATGAAAAAGCATAACTACAGTGGCTTGAATCTCAACAGTAGTAGCTGTCATATAGTATTTAATTATTTATTCATGTAAATGTGTCAAAGTTGGTGATTCTTAGCAGGCAAATATAATGTATATGGATGAGAGATTGCTTTCAGAGTTTCAGTTTTAAAATTGGGACTCAGTGTCGGAAATTTTGGATACCCAAAGGCCAAAGCAAGATCCAAACAGACTAGAAATATTTCAGATACCTGAACTAAATTTTGGATCCCAATGCCCATCCCTAGTCAAAATAAATCAGAATGATGGGTTTAATAGTTGGTCAAACTGATGGGTTTAATAGTTGCTCAAGAAGTTTACTATTAGAAATAAGAAGTTCAAAAGAAGTTTACTATTAGAAATAAGAAGTTCAAAAGAAGTTTGCTGAGAAACTACCTTCTGTTAATATTTTCTTCAGGACTTCCCACCCTTGTGCCATTGAATTTCTTTCTAACATCCAAATTTAGATCCTCAAGCTTAGAGCAGGCTTCAAAGTCATTCACACTAGTCCTGTGTCTTGTATAGTAAGTTGACAAGTAATAGGGCAAAAGAGAGCCGGAAGCAAATACTTATTTAGTAAAAGTAGCTTTTCTTATCAAAACGTGCAAATCAGTGATAAAAGTAACTAAAATAATCACCTTCTATCAGAATGCAAGATCCCTTCAGCATCGTTTACATTGAAATGCGGCTTTGACATGGAAGAAAATTTTAAAATGTCTTGATCTTCAGTTTCATCGACTCTAGTCCAAAAATTCTGCTCAGCAGGGGGGATAAACAAAAACAGAGGCAATGGATAAGAGAGGAGGAAATAAGCAGAAAATCAATTCCATCAGAAGATCATAACTATAGTAGCAATAGGTAATGTATTGGACTTCCTAGAGCAAATTCTATTACGAGGTTGTAATCTTAGCTCTATGACCTTCCAGCCCCATTCAGCATCCTTTCTCCAGTCTCTTCAAATATCATTATCTAAATCTGACTAAAGCAATCTGTTTTTAGCCAAAACGGAGAATCACCAATCAAGAGGAGGTTTGGCCCACCACTACCCATATAATTAAAACACAAGGAAATACAAGAAAGGAAGATGAAGCCTGGTCTCTAAAGAAACCAAAGATGCAACTAAATTAATAAGACACATGTTATTGTGTCCAATGGTGGAAACCCTGGGTACACCAAAAAAAAAAAAAAGACATGTTATATGAAGTGCGCTTATTCAATAAGCCACCCCTTCTTTTTTGTCAGGCCATGAGAGCAGGCCGCACCTTTAAGCCACCCCTTTAAAACCCATTAAAATCTTCTTATCTAGTCTGTTCAAATTTAACTTAATGCTTTCAAAAATCCCATTATGTTCCCTGTCCTAAGCCCAAACGTGCATAAATTAGCTATCTAGCATTCTAGCAAATGCACAAAAGCAGGAGGGTGAATGCCACTTTTGAGCATCAGTAGAAGATGTATTTGCTTGAGCTGAAGCAGAAAGTGCTGGCAATTAGCAGTTCTATGCTGTATGATGAAATGGTGGAGTACCTCTAGAAAGCGGACATGGTAAGCAGGCCGCTTATCAGGATCCTTGGCTTGTGTGAGAAGCTTTTGATGCAATAACACATCTTCCACTCTATCCATATTAATATCCAGCCCATAACTAAAACAAAAATTCCACCATAATTGACAAGGTGTTTAAAATTCATGTAAAAAGCAACATTAAATTCTAATCTAAATTTTTTTTTAAACACTAATCTACATTTCATCATCCTACATTTTAATAAAATTTCAATTAAAAAAAGTGAAATGGATCTTGTAAGATATATATAAGTCCAAACTTCCATGAGCTATTGAGCTCCAAGTTGCATTAATCTCCATATGTTAAAAAAAAAAAAAAAAAAAAAAAAAAAGGATTTAAAAGGAAAGCCAATTCAAGAGGTCTCCCAATCAAAATACTAACTTATACTAAATCTACATTAAATAGAAGTATATCCTTAAGATCCATCTTCAAATAGTCGACAAAAAGAAAAAAAAAATGTTATTTGCGTGTGAAACAAGAAGAAACCTGGAAGGCAAGCGAATGAAGTGAGCTTCCAACTGCTCCCTGAGCAATTCCGGATTTCTAATCACCTCCTCATTCCCACTATCCAACAGCCGGTTGTACACTTCGTTCCTTATGTCGTAAGCTCCTCCTCCTCCGCCACCGGAGCTACCGACGCTCCGAGGCGGCGACGAGCTCTCCCCCACACCTTCTCCAAAATCCATCTATGCGCATGAACTTTCCCGCACAATTTCTGCAGCGTCTACCGCACTATCCGTACAACAAGGATGAAAAATGAGGCAACCAAAGTCAAATAACTTCCATGGCGGTTGACCAGGCGATCGGAGAGTATCTAAAGGGGGAAGGAATCAGACAGGAATTTCAGTGAAGAAGCGTGAGCAAAATGGTCCGCCATTACCAATGGAAAGTGGAAACTCAGGTCCTTCTTTCTCGCTCTGCGTGTCTGAACTCTGAAGAGAAGGAAACGGAAGGTTTGAAAAACGCACCGGAAGGTGTGAGTGTGTGTGAGAGAGAAGGGGGACAAAAGTGGAGTTGGAACTTGGAAATGGATAGGGTTCTAATTAATAAAGACGTGTATGAGGTGTAACAATAATACTGTAATAAATTACTCCGTATTCAATAATGCTGATTTAAAATAAAATCATTCAACTTAGACCCTTCAAGTTTTCAGCTGTAACGGATGCACCCCAAAACTTGTATTCCTTCTCTCTCTCTTCTATATTTTAGAAAAAAAGGTCAAATAGGTTCTTGAACTTCACCAGGACTATGTGGTCCAATGGTACCCGGGTTGGACTTCCATTTGGAAGGTTGTGAGTTTGAGCCTCAGTGGAGGCGTTATTAGCTCTTTGTGTTAGCTCTTTGTGTTTCAGTAGGTTGAGAAAGTATATGAACAGATACTACAATGTAATAGAGCTAGTAGCATTCAAAAAAAAAAAAAAACAAAAAAAAGGTTCTTGAACTTCACTTATAAAGTCAATTAGGTCCCTAAATATTTTAAAATTGTAAATAAACTTATCAACATTGTATTTTAGTGCAATGAAGCCTAAAAATTGATTAGTGACCTGCGATACCCTCCGTCGCAAATTTCGACAAAAAAATCACTGGTGAATAGTTACTGGTCATTTTTTTTATCAGAATTTCCACCAAAAGGGTGTCAAAACTCTAGTGACCTGTGATAGTAATACAATGTTAATGGGTTTAATGGGACTACTTGACTTTTCAAGTGAAGTTTGAGGGCCTATTTGACCATTTTCTCACTTGACCCCCCACAATCCTTGGACCTCTTTCCCATACATGTTTCTATTGGGATTCAAATTCTATATTGCCGCCTCCAGTCATTACTTTTAAGTCAAGCGACAAACCAACTACTCTAAGTCATGCAGTGAGATCTGAACTCAGATTGATCAAATCTGGATCAACGACTCAAATCAATAAAAAAAAAATGCATGTCCTAGGAAGGCAGAAACTAAGTGTAAAAATGGCCCACCTTAAGTGTTACAACGACACACATTAAGCAATCATTATTGTGTGGACCATGGTCCACACAAGTTGTATGAACCATATTTTGTATACTGTAAAATAATGTACATTGTATTCAGGGGATGTACATTATTTTTGTACTGAGTGTACATTATATTGTATAATGTACATACAATATAAAAATAATGTACATTTAGTATATTAAAAATGTACTTTTTGTTATTGTCCACATAACACTGTATGGATCATGGTTCTCACAATAATTTGCCCACATTAATGGCATGTTTGGTTCATGAAATATGTCAGGAATGGAATAACATTCATTGGAATAGACCTATTCCATCGTTTGGTTGGATCATTTTGTCATGTGAATAACATGCCTAGGAATGAGCTATTACCGGGGAATAGCCATTCCTAGGGGGGCCTTGGTATTAGCTATTCTCATGTCCTTGGGAATAGCTTTTATATCACAAATACCAAAAATACCCTTTACACATTATATAATATTTATATTTATTTAATAAATATAATGTATTATATAAATGTATACATTTAAATAAATTATTTGTGTGTGTGTGTGTGTGTGTGTATATATATATATATATATATATATATATGTAAATACAAAAAATTAATTGTATAAGACTACTTAATTATGGAGCCTTGGCTCTTAAATTAAGTAGTCTGCCCATCTGCATGCCTAGCGAATGGGCATTGCAAGCTTGCCTAGCGGATGAGCATTGCAATTGAAATTATGGAGCCTTGAGGCTCCTTTTATAGGAGCCTCAAGGCTCCATTCCTTACTTCTCCAACCGATGTGGGATAAGTGGGAAAATAAACATAAATATAAATATGTATTTGTATAATAATAATAATAATAATAATAATAATAATAATAATAATAATAATAATTATTATTATTATTATTATTATTATTATTATTATTATTATTATTATTGTTATTGTTATTCTCTCTCTCGCATACACACATGCATATACATTTATATAAATATAAATATAAATATAAATAAATAAATAAATATATATATATATATATATATATATATATATATATATATATATATATATATATAACATTCAGTATATCATAATCATATTTCTTATTATTATTATTATTATTATTATTATTATTATTATTATTATTTTGTATAAGGGTATTTATGTCTTTAAAACCTATTCCATTTCTATTCCTTTAACCAACCAAACACTGGAATACAATAACTAAAGTCTATTCATTCAGCCAACCAAACAACAAAATACAATTCCTATTATATTCCTTACCTATTCCATTCCCTGCGGAATAGCATTCCTATTCCCTCTAAATTCATTCCGTGAACCAAACTTGATGTAAGTGTTAGAATGACTTACCTTAAGTGTTAAAATGACGCACCTTAAGTGTTGTGTTACAAAGACACACCTTAAGTGGTAAAATCACGCACTTAAGTGTTAAAATGATGCACCTTAAGGGGGGCGTTTGGTTCAGGTTAAATAAGATAACCAAAGTTATATTTGCTTGGTAATATAAGATTCTCATGTTTGGTTCAGGTTATATAACTTTCCCAGGGAATGTCAATAACCTCCGTATTAAGTTTTTAGCTATTGGAAGGGAATGTGAGATACCCTCCAATTTCTTGGGTAATCTAGTACCGTCAAAATGGGCCGAAGCCCGTGGGTTGGCCCGCCCTTGTCCCATGGTGGGGCGGGTTAGGGTCATAGAAAAATAGGTCCGCGAAAATACGGGCCTAACGGGGCGGGCCGGAATTGACCCTCAACCCACGCGGGTTAGCCCGCGCGGGCTGCGGGTCAGCCCACGGGCTAAATCAGTTAACACTTACGGATACGGCATACGAAATAATTAAGATTGTGACTTCTTATATAGTGCATTCGTAAATATATATATATATATATATATATATATATATATATATATATATATATATATATATATATATATATATATACAATGTTGAAAAAATCGCTAGGCGCTTGAGGACCGCCTAGGACGCCTAGAGCGCCTAGGCCGCCTAGGAGGCCGGGCGCCTAGGCGCGATTTTTACAACAGTGTGTGTGTGTGTGTATATATATATATATATATAATTTTTTAAACATTACTTATTTTGTTTAACTTTGAATTATTATTTAAAAAAAAAAAAAAAAAAAAAAAAGAGTTCGTGGGCCGGCCCGCAGGGCCCGCCAACCCGCGTGGGCGTGGGTTAGGGTTGCATGAGCCCTAGCCCGCGGGCCTAGCGGGCCAACCCGCAAAAGTCCGCTAGAAATTAGGCCCGCGATGGGGCGAGCCTAATGGGACGGGCTGGCTCGCTTTGACAGTACTCGTAATCTCACATTACCTTGTCTTATTACTAATATTGGACTTTGTATTTTTTAATCAATTTATCTTATTATCGTTGTCTTATTTACATATCTAGTTTTAAACCAAACACAGGAATCTAACATTCCCAGTAATCTAACATTTCCAGTAATATAATATTCCTAGCAATGTAACATTCCGTGAACCAAACACCCCCTAAGTGTATAACCGATGCACATTAAATGTTAAAATAGTGCACCTTAAGTGTTAAAATGACGCACCTTAAGCTTTGAAAATACACTCCTTAAGCTTTAGAATGACACACCTTAAGTTTCAACAATAATGTTAAGTTTTCAAGTGTAGAACTGACATACCTTTAAGTGTTAAAATGGCACACCTTAAGTGTTAAAATGACACACCTTAAGCTTTGAGAATACGCATCTTAAACTTTCAATAATACGCAAAATTACCATAATGTCACCGCATTTTTTAATCAGTGTTCAATTTGGACGATTGATTTTGGAAAGATCAATGACTATTATTAACCCACATGTTTTACCTGGACACATCCTTCGTATTTGATCTCTATTTTATATATATAGGCTTATGATCCCATGAGAACACACCCCATGAGAAAACTAAGAACGAATATGTAAAAATCAGACGGATCAGATCAGATTTTTAAAAAATACAATGTCATTTTTATAATTATTGTCAACTTCACTTTGCAAACTTGAACACTTAAATATGCAATCAGTAACAATTAAAAATGTAAACCTGGATAAGTTTTAAAAAATCAATGAAAATGTTAAATTTTAAATCTAAATCGTAAATGCTAGACCCTAAGCAATAAAAAGTGAAATCCTAAACTAAATAAAACAAAAAACTCAGTAAAAAACTCTAAAATCCAAACCTTAAGTGCAATGTACTTTCGCAGTTTTGCAAGTACAATCTTTTAATACAAAATGTGCAATATTTTAATACTAAATGTGCATTTTATAACAACTAGATGTGTAAACCTGAAAATTCTGAGAAGTGTAAATTTTAGTGTTCATGTTTGTATAGTAAAGTTGTTGATAATTATGAAAATGTCATTGTATTTTTTAAAATCTGATTTGAACCGTCCAATTTTTCCATATATAAAACTTAGATTGGTTCTTAATTTTCTCCTAAAGAATTGTTTTCATATGATTTAATACACACACATATTAGAGAATGATCAATGATAACAGAGTCCTCTCGTAAAAAGTGAGGATTGATCTCAGCCGTCCATCAGGGTTCATCAATGGTTAAGGGTTTTAGTAAAAAAGATACGCGGTCAATTTTATAATTATTAAAAACTTTTAAGAGCGAGGTCCATTTTATAATTATTGTAAACTTAAAAGTTTAGTAATTATAAGATCATAATTCTTGATTTTGTAAGATAGAGAGTATGGATATGTCCACACCTTTTACTGAAAAAGTTGTTCTCACCTGAAACCTCCATATAATTGAATTACTTTATTAATATAACTTTTTACATAATATTGAGAAACATTATACGGAGATCTATTTATATATGTGTACATATATATATAATAATTACACACACACACACACACATATATATATATATATGGAAAATACTACATGTATTCTCATTTTATACTCTCAATTTTTATCCCACATATAAAATATATTGATTTATACACACTTGTATTGAGACTCACATGAAAAAAGTAATTTAT